CCCATCACATCAACTTTGAGGTATTCTAATGGTAATATACAATGTGTAGAATAATCAGTATGAGTATGATTGCGGCAGTCCAGTAAATTACGAAGTTATAAGGCAAAATGTATATGGTTTATAGGAATTTGCGTCAGGAAAAGTTTCGGTTTGTAATAGATGTGGGTTGGTACGCCTGCGGACGCCACAAACGTGTTTTGCAGGGATGTCGGAAACATAAATCAATGACAATACGGTGCGAAATGATGTTTTTATATTCATATAATGTCAATTATACATTGATAAAACGTGTATACAAGTTAAAACTAATTAATTGACGTATTTTAAAAGGCATATTTGAGACCGTACTGTACATTATACGTAGCTTAGGCTTAACATAACGCGATCAATTAAAACTCCGAACATAAAAAGTGCATAATCTTTTTTCCCAAGCCCATCACACCACCTTTAAGCTATTATAAAGGTAATATACAATGTCTAGAATACTCAGTATAAATATGATTGAGGCAGTCCAGTGAATTACGAAGTTATATGGCAAAATGTATATGGTTGATAGGAACTCGCATCAGGAAAAAGTGCACAATCTTTTTCCTAAGTCCATCACATCAACTTTGAGGTATTCTAATGGTAATATACAATGTGTAGAATAATCAGTATAAATATGATTGAGGCAGTCCAGTAAATTACCAAGTTATATGGCAAAATGTATTTGGTTGATAGGAATTTGCGTCAGGAAAAGTGCACAATATTTTTCCTAAGCCTATCACATCAATTTTGAGGTATTCTAATGGTAATATACAATGTGTAGAATAATCTGTATAAGTATGATTGAGGCAGTCCTCTAAATTACCAAGTTATATGGCAAAATGTATATGGTTGATAGGAACTCGCATCAGGAAAAAGTGCACAACCTTTTTCCTAAGTCCATCACATCAACTTTGAGGTATTCTAATGTTAATATACAATGTGTAGAATAATCAGTATGAGTGTGATTGAGGCAGTCCCCTAAATTACCAAGTTATATGGCAAAATGTATATGGTTGATAGGAACTTGCAACAAATAAGAATGCATTATATTTTTTCTATGCACATCACAACAACTTTGAGCTATTCCAATTGTAAAATACATCGTATTATATAATATTTATGAATATGATTGAGGCAATCAAGTCAATTATCTGTGGAGAAATCTGAGGTATAATCATGTCGGTCAGCGCTAGATCAAAGCTATGAGACGGCCCCGTCAGCCCATGTATTTCATACTTTTTTTGTAGTCTCGGGGAGAAATTCCAAGCCGGGCGTGGCGCCGTTTTCAATTTCAACACTTCCTTATGAAGCCCCTGACCTTGGTTGAATTAAATCTTTTTTCCCTACGCTAAGTTTGTTAGTTTATGGTAATATGTTATAAACAACAGACGAATAAGACGTTATACCATAATAATATTATGATGGACTACCATTAGACATTTAAGGCTTCCTTGAGTAAAGTAAACTCACTTACTTACCTCAATGAACCACACGATCACAGGCGAGAGGATAGATGTATGGGTATTCATCTATCCTATCGCCTGTGATCGTGTGGTTAGAGCATGATTATTGAATAGTTAGGTCAACCATATACATTTTGCCAGATAACTTCGTAATTTACTGGACTGCCTCAATCATATTTATACTGAGTATTCTACACATTGTATATTACCATTAGAATAGCTCAAAGTTGATGTGATAGGCTTGGAAAAAAAGATTATGCACTTTTTATGTTCGGAGTTTTAATTGATCGCGTTATGTTAAGCCATAGCTACGTATAATGTACACTACGGTCTCAAATATGCCTTTTAAAATACGTCAATTAATTAGTTTTAACTTGTATACACGTTTTAGCGAATTTCCCTATAGGGAAGTAGCTATTACCGTAGGTGGCACGGTAAGACCTAGACCCGGGACCGATTTACTTTTTCATTTCGATGTCCCCAGAGGCCAAAAACACCATTCGTTCAAATTTTTATATATGTATATATATAGACTTATATATATATATATATATATATATATATGTGTGTCCGTGAACGCGATAACTTGAGTAATTTTTGTCTGATTTTGATGAAATTTGGTTTAAAGGTGTAAAGCGAGATAAACTTAAATGAGTTCGCGAACCAGCACGATCGGACCATGGGAACGGGGCTTTACGGGGGGTTTTATGGGGTAAAAATTGGTTTTTCTCACTTTTGACCCTCAAAACACAAAATTTCCCGATTTCTCTTTAGACCTTTTTAAAGAGCTTAAAAAAACAAATAATTTAGTATATAAAAGTATTTTTGTTCGATTATTAGTAACGGAGAAAATTAAAAAAATTGTAAATTTAAAATTCACATGTTATTCTTATGGAGAATATTGTCAAATGTTGTAGTTTGCTTGTTTATGGATATATTTTGATCAAACTTGGCAAATTTATTTATTTTGTACTAAGCTATCAATATTTTACTCAAAAACACACTTTATTAGTTTCCTTGTAGCAGCAAACCTAGGTACTCGTTAAACCTAATGTTATTAAAATATATTTAACTGAAAATCAATTCAGACAAATGGAAATTCGCTTAGTCGGCAGGTTTGCTGCGGCGGGGGTATTATCAATGTATAATTGACATTATATAAATATAAAAACATCATTTCGCACCGTATTGTCATTGATTCCGACATCCCTGCAAAACACGTTTGTGGCGTCCGCAGGCGTACCAACCCACATCTATTACAAACCAAAACTTTTCCTGACGCAAATTCTATAAACCATATACATTTTGCCATATAACTTCGTAATTCACTGGACTGTCGCAATCATATTTATACTGAGTATTCTACACATTGTATATTACCATTAGAATACCTCAAAATTGATGTGATGGGCTTAGGAAAAAGATTGTGCACTTTTCCTGATGCGAGTTCCTATCAACCATATACATTTTGCCATATAACTTCTTAATTTACAAGACTTCCGCAATCATACTCATACTGATTATTCTACACATTGTATATTACCATTAGAATACCTCAAAGTTGATGTGATGGGCTTAGGAAAAAGATTGTGCACTTTTCCTGATGCGAGTTCCTATCAACCATATACTTTTTGCCATATAACTTCGTAATTTACAGGACTGCCACAATCATACTCCTACTGATTATTCTACACATTGTATATTACCATTAGAATAATTCAAAGTTGATGTGATGGGCTTAGGAAAAAGATTGTGCACTTTTCCTGATGCGAGTTCCTATCAACCATATACACTTTGCCATATAACTTCTTAATTTACTGGACTGCCGCAATCATACTCTTACTGATTATTCTACACATTGTATATTACCATTAGAATACCTCAAAGTTGATGTGATGGGCTTAGGAAAAAGATTGTGCACTTTTCCTGATGCGAGTTCCAATCAACCATATACATTTTGCCATATAACTTCGTAATTTACAGGACTGCCGCAATCATACTCATACTGATTATTCTACACATTGTATATTACCATTAGAATACCTCAAAGTTGATGTGATGGGCTTAGGAAAAAGATTGTGCACTTTTCCTGACGCAAATTCCTATCAACCATATAGATTTTTCCTTATAGCTTCGTAATTCACTGGACTGCCGCAATCATACTCATACTGATTATTCTACACATTGTATATTACCATTATAATGCCTCAAAGTTAATGTGATGGGCTCAGGAAAAAGATTGTGCACTTTTCCTGATGCGAGTTCCTATCAACCATATACATTTTGCCATATAACTTCTTAATTTACTGGACTGCCGCAATCATACTCATACTGATTATTCTACACATTGTATATTACCATTAGAATACCACAAAGTTGATGTGATGGGCTCAGGAAAAAGATTGTGCGCTTTTCCTGATGCGAGTTCCTATCAACCATATACATTTTGCCATATAACTTCGTAATTTACTGGACTGCCGCAATCATACTCATACTGATTATTCTACACATTGTATATTACCATTAGAATACCTCAAAGTTTATGTGATGGGCTTGGGAAAAAGATTGTGCACTTTTCCTGATGCGAGTTCCTATCAACTATATATATTTTTCCATATAACTTCGTAATTTACTGGACTGCCGCAATCATACTCATACTGATTATTCTACACATCGTATATTACCATTAGAATACATCGAATTTGATGTGATGGGCTTAAGGTCAACATTGTGCACTTTTTCCTGATGCAAGTTCCTATCAACCATATACATTTTGCCATATAACTTCGTAATTTAGGGGACTGCCTCAATCATATTTATACTGAGTATTCTACACATTGTATATTACCATTAGAATACCTCAAATTTGATGTGATGGGCTTAGGGTCAACATTGTGCACTTTTTCCTGATGCAAGTTCCTATCAACCATATACATTTTGCCATATAACTTCGTAATTTAGGGGACTGCCTCAATCATATTTATACTGAGTATTCTAGACATTGTATATTACCTTTATAATAGCTTAAAGGTGGTGTGATGGGCTTAGGAAAACGATTATGCACTTTTTTATGTTCGGAGTTTTAATTGATCGCGTTATGATAAGCCATAGCTACGTATAATGTACAGTACGGTCTCAAATATGCCTTTTAAAATACGCCAATTAATTAGTTTTAACGTGTACACACGTTTTATCAAGGTATAATTGACATTATATAAATGAAAAAACATCATTTCGCACCGTATTGTCATTGAATTGCGTTTCCGACATCCCTGCAAAACACGTTTGTGGCGCCCACTGGCGTACCAACCCACATCTATTACAAACCGAAAAAGCGCCGATGAAAAGAGCCGCTAACTTCACGACGGTCTGAAACCAAGATTGTGCGGCCTGCTTGGAATGACTGCCTGGATTGGGACTGGATTGAATAATGGATAAGAATTGAAACTTGCAGTTTTGTTTTGACGTTTTAGTGGTAGGCCTAGTGGTTTGGGTTTGGTTTGAGTTTGACGTTTCTCTTGCTCAGCTGGCATTGTTCTTTCCCAGCTGCTCTAATATTGTATTATTATTTATTTAACATTTTATCCTTTTTTCAACAGCATGTTCTGTCTGCGCCTGTAGTGAATGTGTCATCGTGATCAATGTGAAATGTGACGTCGTACTTTGTCTATCTATTACCACCAACTAGGCTACTAGTAGTAGACTAAACTAAACTTAGTTGATGATAAAGATAAATTAATACTGACTGCAGAATAGGAGATTTTAAAATTGTATTAAAAAAATACGATGAAGATGGTTTTCTAGTTGTTAGGCCTAGTAATAGTCTGTTAAACTGAAAATTGATACTGTCAACACATTCATTCAAATCAAAGGTGCATTTAACTTCGTTTCTGAATCGGACGGAAGCCAGACAGCAAAATTAAAGTTAGGCCTAGGCCTAGTACCTAATGAGCGAGCAGGTCTGTATAACAGCACAAAAAAAAGAAAAGGAAATGGAAAATTCATGATAATTTAGAATTACGGTATTCTAAATTGTAACAGTCCCAAATTGTGTTTGTGTGGTAACTTGACTTATCTTGAACATTTTTATATAGGCCTACTGTTTGTATGTAGGTTTAAGTACTATGCATTGTATTTAGGTCATTTAATAGGTTGAACATTACCAGGAAAGGCTAGGTCTAGGTCCTTGTAAGGGTACTGATCTCAATTTTGATTAGAGATGGCTGACGTAAAATCCTTGGAACATCCTACTCTGAAGGTGCAGTATAAACATTATTGTGTTGCCTAAAATATGTCTATTTAGCCTAACTTAAGAAGTTAAAGACTGCCAAAGTTAGGCCTAGATACTTAAGTTAGGCCTAAGCATATGTCTTCCTTCAGGGCCAAAATGAAATAGGCCTAGGGAAGGTTAATGCTAATTTAAAAAGCCAATAACTTAAGCGGTTATTTACCTATTATTCATAGGCCTAAGCTAAGTTACGGTAAGGTTAAGTTAAGTCTAATTATTTTTATTAGGCTAACTTAAGTTTTAGAAGTCTAACCTTAGCCTAGGCCTAACTTATTTAGATCGTTAACTTATTTCAGAAATATTATGATCACTAAGGCTAAGTTACCCTAACTTACTTGGTTACCTAGCCAGAACTTGAAAACCCAGCCATGCGTAACATTGTGAAAACCATGATACTTGCATACTTACTTGCATACTTGTATTTATCCCACTGGAAGCTTTTCAGCCGTGGTCGTCATTGGTAGTTGTCAGCCTTCACTCTTCAAGGAATTCTTCTACTGAATAATAGGCTTTATTTAATAGAAACATCTTCAGCATTTTCTTGAATTTAGCTTGATCTTCACAAAATCTTATTTCTTGTGGTAATTTATTGAAAATTTTGCTTCCTGAGTATTGAGGGCTAGTCTGTGCTAGTGTAGTTCTGCGATGGTTGATATGGATACTATTTTTTTGTCTTGTGCTGTACTTATGTAGGCCTACTTCATTGTTTCTTGGGGAAAAATCGGGAAATTTAAGAACATTTAAGGCCGATTCCAATATATACCAATAAACAATACCAATTACCAATATATTCCAATATATATGCTGATGGCAGGGTAAGTATTTGAAGTTCCTTGAATAAAGGTTCGCAGTGCTCAATGAAGTGGGTTTATTGTGCTACGTGTGTGTGTGTGGGTACTCTTCCGCAGAGAACCTGTGATGTAACTTATTATCGGATGAATTACGATATAAGTTACTGTAACTCATATCAATACTAGCTGTACCCGCGGGCTTTGCCCCGTTTAACTTCATAAGTATTCGCATGGCTCAATCACGTCCTGGTTGAAGTTCGTTCGCTACGCTCACTCACCTTTAGGTAGGAGCTTGTTCCCTGCGCTCACTTGCCTTAAGTTTAAGGTTAGCTCGTTCGCTACGCTAACTCGCCTCCAGGTTGAAGTTCGTTCGCAACGCTCACTCACCTTTTGGTTGCAAATTAGCTGTTGTCATAAAAAAAATAATAGTGCTGCACCCTGTTGGTAATCCTTGTAACTTAAATGCTATTGAACATCATCAACAGAACCAACTTGTTTAATTGAAACAGCTGATTCATTAATTCCATTTAAATATGAGTACCGGTAATCAAAAGGTTAACATGGGAAACTCCAGAGCCATTGGGGCGGAGCCCAGAGGTCGTAGGGTAAAATCCTTTCTTAGTGAGCGTCTACTACCCAAAAGGAAGATGCCTGCCAAGTTTCAGGTTCCTAGGTCTTATGGTTTCTGAGATTTCGTGATGAGTGAGTCAGTGGTATTTGAGCTTTATATATATAGATAACATTAAGTTACAATAACTTTTGAAAAGTAATTTTTACAGCAATGGGAGATGTAAATTCCATTTTGTTCAGAACTTAAAGGGCTACAACATATAGCCTAATACTAAATTTTTATTTAAATCGTTCATGTCGTTTTTGAACAAATTGTATGTTTTAGTGATTTTACAGGTGTTTATAGGAAAATCACCATTGAAAATCCAAATTTAAAAAAAGTAATAACTTATATGAAATACCTGTATAATAATATTTATGTATCATAGTTGTCAGCTGATATGTTTCAGTTGGTCAATAACGATATATATGGGATCAAAAAATAAAATAATAAAGGTAGGTATCGAAAAGAAATCATCGATAGGGCCTCATAATGAATGTTCTCTTTAACAGGAAAGTACTGCCCAAGACATCTGGGTAATGCAAAAACATAGAAAGATAAGGCCAAATCTGTTAAGGTGATAAGGTTATCCGTTTCCCGTCCAAAACATAACAACCCATTTTCGTATATCTCCGCTACCCATCCTTTATCGCCAAAGACTGAAATGAAATGTGTTTATTGTCTTTTGAATTTATACAAATTATTGACAATGTCATAAAACAGCTAAAATTATAGCATAGTCAGTTAATGAAAACAATATAGCCAACTACACACAAGGAGAAATGTTACAGTACATATTATAAATATTACAACCAAATAATCTTATTGTTAAGTAAAATTCAAGGCATTTGGAAAAATGGAAGTTATTAAACCCCATAACCAACTAAAGCCAACACAGTAATTTGGTCAATTTGCTAACTCTACTTAAAAATTAATACTGTATAAGGCATTTCAAAAAATTCCTTGAATTTATTTATTTACACTTTATTTCACTTAGGTGGATGTATCCGTCACCCATCCGCGAAGGGTTGAAATTAAAATATTAGTTGACAGACAAAATATAAACAGCAGCACCTTATGTTGGTTATAGTGAACTTACACTTTACCTTATCTAATCCATCTTCAAAACACACAATACAGTAATGAATCCGCTAACCCAACCTTACCCTAACCTTTCACCCACATCTCCGGTGGTAGCACGCTTAGTATTTATTGCACGAAAAAATAATAAAACATTCATTTTCAAGCAAAATTGCGCCTAATTACACCTTTAAATTTTGTTTTTACAACATTTATTTTTTGTTCAATATTACATTATTCACAGAAATTTTAACAAAATAGAAAAAGAAAATAACATAAATAACATTGCGAGTTTTGCTCAAACTTGAGACACCCTGTAACAAAGTAAATTTAGATGCAGGTCACATGTTCGATTTCCTTTAGGCTTCATCCAACAAGAAGATGTGGGAAAGCCTTCGACGTAATCTTCTATTTTCTGTGGTTTCGCCAAGATTGAATGCCAGTGCTCCAGGAACATTGTATAGAGAATTTAGAAATTTGAAGGGGGATTTTTCAATGAAGGTCAAGACAGACTCTATTCCAAGCTCTTCGTGTATGTGTTTATTTCTAACGAACCAAGAACATTCACTTCTATTCTAAGAATTTTATTTTGGATTAACTTGAATTTTGAACAGTTTATTCTTTGAAGTAGCATAGGTGTTGCATTGCATATGTTATTAACAGCCGCATTATTGATTTATAGATTAAAATTGCACAAGCTGGTTTTAGAGTAGATTTTCTAATGATCAAAGGAAAAAGCTTAGCAAGCCGTGCATAACCTTGGGAAAGTTTTTTTGTTTACATGGAAGTTCCAATTTAGTTTCTTATCCAGCCATACTCCAAGGTATTTAATGGCCTGGTCAACAGGGTTCCACGGTAGAAAATTACAATATATTTGAATTTCATGAGGCAATGCATGCTTTTTTAAGGAAAATATTTTTGTCTCACATTTGGTTGAATTTAAATTAAGCTTCCACTTAAAGAACCAATCGACGAGAATGTCTACAGAATATTGTAGAAAATGTGTAGCCTCGTAGATATCAGAATGTTGGCACAGGATAGCTGTGTCATCAGCGTACAGAGCTATTGAGGCGTCTTCTGGAAGAGGTATGTCCGCCATGTACAGATTAAACAATACATGGCCCAATATTGAACCTTGTGGAACACCTGCATTGATCTGTCGAATGGTTGATTTTGAAGAACATTGTGTTTTTATATAAAAAATATATATGTTGTTTTTCTGATTTCCTATTTTTATTTGACTTTGCCGGGAACTAAACAATCATTTTTGAATTCAGGATGTTAAATAGCATCATAATACTGTAGAAAAGCTATATTTTAATGTGATGTCTGTGATCAATATAATAACAGTACCCGGCTCAACAACAGACTGTACTGAGTAGATGAGTTTAGATTGATATCAGATGATTTGCAGAAGTCTACCGGAAATATGAATTCTCATAAGGTAGTAGCATGCCGATTATTTTTTAATACGTCCCCAAACTATGTAACAGTGACCTACTCAGAGTATTGGTTGAATCTTGGTAAACAACCTCATTTCCAGTACAGTTTTTTTATATGAATTATTAACTTTTGGTACGAAAACAAAAAGTTATAAGCACAGAAGCTTTAACTTAATAATTTTTTACATCGGTAACACATCATATTGAAGGGACTTGCCTACAAATTTGCATCGAAGTATATAACACAACTGGAACACCGGGTAGATAGGAGATGTGAGATAAAAAGCGCGCCGTTTCGGTAACCTTCCTCCACCACTATGGGGGACCCAACGCAGATATGTCAGTTCCTCAAGCCGTGCACGCGGTTGTTAATACGCTCCTGGCCGTGCATACAAAGGTTGACTGCAATTAAAGTTATATATTCGGAATCTGCATAACTGCAGAATCTGACAGTATAAATATAATCTTATTTAAATCGTAATTCGAATTTTAACAACTAAAAATGTTAAACAAATATCACACCTTGACATGAAAAAGTTACCAAGCGAGGATTTTTTAAAACTTTTTGGTCAGAAGCAAACTTCAAGCGACAAAATTGTAGCTAATGAGATGATCTTTAGCATATAACCAAGCAATTTGAAATAAAATTTTCTAGTAGTTTGTAATGGAGTAATTAGTAACGCAAAGAGGTTCTTTATAAATCGCGCCGCGGGCCGTCCTCCCTGGTTCCGCTGATCTTTTCGTTTACGGTACTCCTAGAAACCTTTTGAGTACAACCAATAGTTATATTAAATACATTTTTATTACAGGTAACACATAACTAAATACTGTATTATCACCTTCTAGGTAAACTATTTACATACAATGTTACCGTAAATTAAAATATAAAATGTAGACTATAGATACAGGAACAGGGACTGGTAATCCCCCTTTGTTTAAATGTAACAAGGGATCCTGTATTATCTGCTTTGTTCGGTAATTAATGAGAAATTTCAAATATTAAGGCTCAGATCAAATAATTGATAAGGTCATAAATACTAAACCTAGGAAGTATTTTTCAATAGCAAAAATTGAATAATAAATTTACAAATCGAATTGTTAGTCGTGTTCCTTTGACAATATGAGTATTTGTATAATGTTGTAAACACACGATTAGTAAACAGTGTTTTGAGTGTCATTGTTATTCTGTATATGTTTTAAAATTCATATCATCACACATAAGAGAAAAGGGTTTGGTTAATAATACTAAACAGTACTTTTAAGAATATGTTTTACTGTCTACAATCGTGCTTAAATATAGTACAAAGGTTGCATTACATGTTGTGAAACAAAACCAATTTCTTCAATCTCTGCCTTACACCTAACTTATTTTTGTTATTGGAGAAACAAACGGTTTTGTAAAACAGTGTCCCTACAGTTTCATTCATGGGCGGCAGCCCGGTATACCGGTATTGATATTTATCTTCTGCAAATAAAAGAAATATATGATCACATCCATAGAATAGTTAGTTGTATTCTTTAACTTATATCAACTATTAAAAAAGCTTAAAATTTATTTAGCTTTACAATGATCGAGTAGCACAAACATAAAGAGTTGCTGGACTGAGGAGGTTGGTACGACATAAAATCACCCTCGTCGCGCTATTAATCACTATACTACAAACAAACTACAAACTTAATTGTAAATTGCTCGATCACATGTTGAAAATCATCTCTTAAACTACAACTTTGTCGCTTACAGTTTTCTTAACTATGGAAATTCTATTTTAAATCAAAAGTAATATTTATTGATACCATTAGATTCTGCATTTAATGCAGATTACGAATATATAAACATTATTGTACTTAATCTTTGTTATTGAATGCTAGGAGCGAGTTAACAACTTCGCGCACTATTCGATGAATTGGCTAAAATCCGCTGGGTCCCCCATGTTGGTGCGGGAAGGCTGCCACAACGGCGCGCTTTCGTGAATACGTACCTAGCATTCCAGTTGTGTTATATACTTCGATGCAAATTTGAAGTAAAGGCAATTACAGTAGACCCCCTCTTAACCGACCCGTACGGGAGTAGACCTAGGTCGGATAATTCAAAAAGTCGGTTAAAACGGACAATCCCTAAAAACTAAATAAATTAAATGCTATTAATTTGGAATTATACAGGGTGTCAAGTAAACAAAACGGACAAACTCCGGGAAAAGGTTCTGTGGGTCAAAATAAAGAGAAAATCAACATTAACATTTTTTTTAAATCGCTTCGTTAACTAGATATCCACCATTTTGGTTTTTTTCTCACACAAACGCTTTTATGAAAATTTGTATGCATGTTAAGGTTAAATAGGCCCATAGGACAGAAAAAATTATCTAGGCCTAAAACCAAATCAAAATTTTAAAATGGCAGCAATTTTAATTTATTAAATTGAAATTGCTAAAAAATGGCTAATGTTATGAAAACGTGTCTACAACACTTTTTAGCATTTAAAATGTCCTATCAAGAGACACACAGTTCACAAAGATCAAATAAAGTAGGCTAGTTGAAATATCACAATTTTTATTTGTTAAATGAGGCTTTAAAAAAATTTAAATTGCCGCCATTTCAAAATTTTTAATTGGATTACATTCTCTTTTTCCTACTTAGGCCTGTTTTACCTCAACATACATACCAAGTTTTATAATGATCGGTTGAAAAAGTTCCCATTGCCAAGCGTGGGAGCGGAAATGCAGATATTCCTAGAAAGCGGCGGTTAAACATAATTGCTCTCAAAACAAGGTTGATTAAAACAAACTGTATTATCTTACGAGCGAGGGCGGATAATCCGTTAATCCGTTAATTTGAGGCCGGTTATGAGGTTTTCTACTGTAACAAATTGAAGATGTTTCAATCATCCAAGTTCCTGTGGTTCAGATTAACTCTAAATTATTCAATCAATTTTTTTTTAATAGGTGCCTTATGAGTTGTTGAACAAGAAGTTTCGTGCTGCTCAAAAGCAGCTAGACAGAGAGGTGTCTCATGTTCAAGCCGCAGCGTTGGAGCTTGAGCGAGGGTTGGCAGCTGACACCGTGCCCGCTGGTGACATCAGTCGTATCCTTGGAGGCATGGTGGAGAAGCTGCAAGTGCTCAAGCGTAAGGTAATAAATTTAAACATTTTGGGAGTAAATGCTTTTAGTTTGTTTAGGAATATCATTGGGTTTGTTTGTCGTCCGTCAAATTGCAAGTGTTTTAATGACTGTTCTGGGGACCCTTGGTATGTGATAATTATTTCCTTACTGTTTGTAGCCTCAATATACTTGCAGAATCATATTTTTAAGCATGTTACCTATTTTTTAATATTGATTTTACAAATAAAGATATGTTTTGGTGTAAACAAATATGGATACTGACTCCCTCATGAATCAAATAGTTTTTTGATCATCACTGAATCAAATCGAATCGGGATTTCGATGCCTTTTCTAATATGCATCAGCATCGCACACTCCTATTGACAAGTTTTACAATCGAGCTTGCACCGGAATAAAAATCAGTACCAAACAGACCTACATTTTGGAAGACATTCTCCTTATGAGTTCTAAATTGTTTTGATAGGCAGAAGAAAGCATATCTGAAGAACTTCAGGTTGGACTAGTTTGCAAGCGTCGCTTGGACCACCTGAAGGAGTACAGCAGTAGTGGTGCTGCATGGCGGCGGCGACGACTAGACCGTATGTTGGTGGAGTACTTTCTACGTAGAGGCTACTATAATGCCGCTCAGAGACTTGCTCACACTTCTGACCTTCGTGATCTTACAAATATTGGTATGGCCAAAACTACTGAATTACTCTTTTAGTTTGCTACCTATATTACCAACACACCAAAGTGATAGATAACCTTGTATTGTCTTGTAAAACTTTGACATTTCTTATTCTGAAAGGAAATACAGTAAAACCCCTTTTTACCACACTCTTAACACCTAGACAACAGGAAAAGCCAGTGGTAGCGTGAGTAGTTGACAACCGCCATAAAGATAAAAGATTGAGGAACAATTAGTTGTTAACCGTAAAGATAAAGTTTGAAAAAAAATTAGTTGTTGATTATAAAAAAAACTATTTGTATATAGTAGTTAGTAGTCAGTTAGTAGGTTCTAATCCATGGTATCTCCAGGTGTTTTTTAATTTTTTTGAAATTTTGATTTTTAAGGTTGATTTATTTCCCATAAAATAACGGAAAAATAGGATTTTGTCAAAAATGGCCCGAACGATTTTGATAAAAATTTAGTAGGCCTATGTTGTAGCCCCTTAAATTCCAAACAAAATGGTACGACTCCCATTTCTGTAAAAAAAATACGGTTCTAAAGTTATTGTAAATTATGTTATTTTCATTTTCCCATAAAACCCCATAAAATAACGAAAAATCGGATTTTAGGAAAAAGCCGGTTTTGATTTAGGCTAACTTAGTATGTTATAGTACTTAAAATTTTGAAAGTTTTTCATTTTGATTTTTAATGGGTATTTTCCCATAAAACCCAGTAAAATATCGGATTTACTCGAAAATTGCCCGAACGATTTTCTTAAAAATGTAGTATCTAAAAATGTAGTCCTTTAAATTCTGAACAAAATGGTACAAATCCCATTTCCGTAAACATTACGCTTCAAAAGTTATTGTAAATTATGTTATTTTTCCATTAAAAAATTATAAAATAACAAAAAAATCTGATTTTTGGAGAAAAACTGGTTTTTATCAAAATTATATGTTATGGTCCTTATAATTCTAAAAAAATAGTACAACACCCCATTGCTGTGACAATTATGGTTCTAAAGTTATTGCAACTTTTGTGATTTTTTACAAAAACATATTATATTTACTCTCACAGCTTATGGGAGAAAGTATGTGTCAGTATGCTGATACCGTTTATTTCTTGTTGATCTCATTGAGGTACCTAATCTGAGATTCTTTATTGACCCAATGTTGTAATTGTGGCTCTAGGTAATCACCATTTGAATAGGTTTGAATCCTTGTGTTGTTTTTCATATTCTAGGGTAGATAAGATACTTTTTATGAACGGCAACAAAGCTTAAGTGTATTTTATTTAAGCAAAGTAAGAGTGTTCATCATGAGTATTAACGTAAATGTATTGCACAGATATTTTCATGGTATCCAGGGATGTTGAAAACTCCCTTTCAAAACGTGAAACGAGCAAATGTCTTGCTTGGTGCCATGACAACAGATCTAAACTTCGCAAACTCAAATCGACATTGGAGTTCAATCTTCGCATCCAAGAGTTTGTTGAGTTGGTGCGTTCAGATCGGAGAATCGATGCAGTGCGGTGAGTAATTTAAATTTTATACACAACTTAAACACTATTTTGATGAACTGCTTGGTTGAGTGCAGTAGATTAAATGGGCTAATGGTGTATCAGGCCAAATGGGTCCCCTACCCAGTTAAGTTAAGTTCAGACCGTATTGTAACCAGGTTAAATCTATTTTACAAAGACCTCAGTTTACCTGCTGTTTGCAGAGGGTCCAATGAAAAGTTGGACTATAATAGAAATTGAAAAGTTATTCTCTTTTGATAAACAAACATCTATACAAGGGCTGGGGAACCCTAGTCAGCAACCTAACTATCATAACATAACCTCAATGCTATGTTACCCAAGACTTGACAGCTATATCTACAGACGATCCTCAGCCCAGTGAATAAAACCACTTTTTGTCGGATCTACTTCTTCCACTCTTCTGCTGAAATTCTTCTTACTTCTTCATCTCTTCCGCTGTAATTCTTCTTACTTCCCTTCTGCATGGGTAAAATACGCTTGTGTCGGCCTTTCAAGGTTACAAGTCTCTGCCTTTTCTACTTTTTCGTAACTCGCTGACTAATCCCACCGCTGAGAAGGTAATTTATGCCTTCTTTACGACCGTCTAGTTGAACAAGAGAGATACCGCCATTCCTATCAAGCATTTGCTATCAGTGAGTTTGTGATTTGTCAATTTCGTCATGCAATTTGTCCTGCTGCCATTAAAGTGCTATATATGTTAAGTTTTGGGGATTAGATCAGAATTTTGACTAAAACTGAGGTACAGTATTTATAGTTTTATTTTATACTAATTTTCTACCATCAGTGATAGTTAGAAACGGTGTTGTAACTTGGAAGGCTGGGCCTCACTTTCAGCCCTAGTCCTATGTTTTTAAACCACTACAATAGGTGGGGGGTCGTAGTTGGTCACACCATCTTAAAAAAAGTTTTGAATTTCTTATTATGACTTTACCAATAGTTTATTACCCATTTTTGGTTTCCACTAAGTTTGTCCCAGTGGCACAGGTTCCTGCCTGCAAAGTTTGTCCAAGCTGCCCACGTGAGTAGGTAGAAGTTCAGTTTTATTTTTCGTTTCAATTTTCTTTTATTTCCACTGGCAACTAAGGACAATTTCTTTGGGTTTTAACTAACACTCTGTGGGACTAGGCTAGGCCTATTTAACCCGTGTTAGTTTCTGGTTCACTTGTGTAACCCTGTAAGCAGGGATATCTGCTTGTTTAATTGCATTTTAAGTAGGCTAGTTTAAGGCCACACAGGTTTGTGAAATTCATAGGCCCCCCACAAAGCTCCCCAACTAGAGTGGTGATTTTAAGTGTGGTGTCTAGGGACACTTTATGTAGTTCTGATCTCTGATTAACCTAGACTGAGGCTCTATCAATACTGAGGGTATCTAAATCACTATCAACTCTTGGAAAATCACATCAACCCGACTCGTGCGATTTCTCTCTTCGACTCACTCTTCTTATAACAAAAGGCATTTGACCTAATAACGTTTTCTACAAAATTTGGTAAAATTATATGTATTTTCTAACAATTTATTGGATGGTAAAATGGGGTAGAAAAAGGCTAAGCTAGTCAGGTTTGCCCGATTTTACAACTAAATTTCATAATATTTCAGCTACCGCTATTTCTTATTCAATCTTTTTGAATTCAGTATCGTTTGATAGGGAATTGAAAATGCTAAATAAAAGTGTTCTTAAATTTTTCATAAAATCAGCAATTGTTTAGTAATTTAAGTTTAAAAAATTACAATAGCCGCCATTTTGAAATTATAAGTTGAATCAAGATGAATTTTTTCCCAACATGGACCCCTTTTTACATAAAGTTACATAAAGATCGGTTAAAAATTTTCAAAGATAAAAATGTTTATGTAAAAAACACAAAATGGCGGATATCTGGTTATCGAAGGGATTTTGGGAAAAATGTTAATCTTGAATTTCTCTTTTTTTGACCCAAGGAATCACTACGTAAATTATGTCCCCACCTTTTTGGAACACTCTGTATCTATACTTATTTAATACGCAAGTAGAATTTTTGTGACAATTACTCCTCCGAAACTACTGAACCGATTGACATGTTTTTGGTGTCATTGGAAAGAGCGTAACGTGAAGTTGTGCAGGAAACTTTCTTTTTAGGTAAATAATTAGAGAATTAGGCCCTTTAAAGTTTTGTATTTCTCCATAAGATTAACATGGGAAACAAACATTGTTTTGAAACTGCAGCTGTTGTCAGAAATTAAATATTAATAATTGGTCTACATGGAAGCATGAGAAAATTCATAATGTTTACATTTGCTTAGACATTTAAATGTAAACAACCAGAACTGTCAAATGTCTATTTCACAATTTCAGACTGCTGATCCAAAAAAAATAAAACAACTATGTGGTAGGTTTATTTTATCTTAAACTTTATGATATACTAGCAGAGTACCCGTCCTTCGTACGGGGTTGGCAGATAAGTATAAAATGCTTGTTGCAGTTATGGGAGAGGACACGGTTTAAGAAAATTTGGTCTTTTGATTAATACGGTATCCTATAGTGTAGCACACATATACCATAGCCCTAATGTTCTACAATTGCACCTAAACCATGGAAAAAAGTAAAGTTCTCATTGTGTACCACAACTTTTTGTAGCTAGTTGATACAAATTAGCTGTTGTCATAAATGCAAAAAACATAATAGTGCTGCACCCTGTTGGTAAGCCTTATAACTTTTTAATACTATTTAAAATCATAGTTAATTTAATATCTTGTTTAACTTATGCAGTTAAAACGGCTGACAAAATTCCTTGATTTCCTTTAAATATGAATACTAATAAGGTTAACATGAGAAACTCCAGAGCCAGAGCCACTGGGGCGGAGCCTGATAGGATTTTGAGGTAAGAATATGTCTATTATGTTTATCGGGAATGTCAGCTATCATCATACCAAATTTCAACCTTTTCGGTTTAGTATTTTTCGCCTTTAACTTACTTGTCACAAACCATCCATCCATCCATCCACCCATCCATCCACCCATCCATACATCCATCCATGCATCCATCCATACATCCATACATCCAAACTTTCTTACTTATAATTTTAGTAGAATAACTTAACTGTTGTAATATTGATTGTTTATGGATAGATATTTTTATCAAACTTGGCAAATTTATTTATTTTATACTAAGCTAATAATATTTTCCTAAAAATCACACTTTGTTACCCCCCTGTAGGCAGCAAACCTAGTACTCGTTAAGCCTAATGTTATTGAAATAGATTTAATTGAATATAAAGTCATTCAAATGGAAAGTTGCTTAGGCTGCAGGTTTGCTGCGATGGGGGTGTTTTGGAATTGTAATTGATGTAGAAAGAAGAATTTGTAGTAGTACATGATTAACTCTAATTTATACATATAAGATACTAAATAAATCAATCCCGTTGGTCACAATTAGTAGCGCCGGTCGCTTGTTATTTGAACAGCTACTGCAAACCAGCGCTACTATTCGTATTTGCTAGCAGCTATACCCGTGCCTTGCAACGGGGTCAGTATGCAAAAGAGACAATGTTAGTTCTTTGAAAATGCCAAATGGTTTTACTCCTACCATTTAGTTTAGAAAAAAAATTTAACTGAATTACTTAACTTGATAATATTACTGTACGTTTTTTGTTAACTCATACTGTGAATACTTTTTAGGCTAACTATGATTCAAAACCAACGATAGATTTTAAGGTATAATAAAAAAATTTGTTTATTGGTTTGCACTGTAAATGAAAAGCTAAGGGTAATTATATAACATATTTTAGTGAAATTATAATCAGGCAAATATAAATTTGCTCAGTCTATAGGTTTGCTGTGGCAGGGGGATTATATTACTGTTTACACACAAAAAGAAAAAAAAATAAACCTCATAAAACTCAGGATAAGGGCCTAGGTTGATACGGCAATGATTATAGAATCTTAATTATTTCCTATATCGATTAATGATTTATTTTACAATGAATTATTCCCTGTAAAATATTATTAGGTACTGTACAGCATTTCACAAATATTAGAACAGACTCAGTATAATAGATCATAAACATAAACAAATGAAGTAACTGAAAGAATCCTATGCTAATGAAATTACATTAACATAATGGTTTGACATCTCCATAATGTTAAATAATGTTTACATTTGGGCTAGTGACATCATTAATTTAAATTTATAATCCTTACCCTCTCTGTTCTAATATTAGTGCAGTATTTAATATGTTTGAACCAGCTGTGTGGAATTGTGAAATCAAAATTCATTTGACAGTTAGTTCTACTTGTTTACATTTTTAAACTTTGTAGGTTTGTTCTTTGTTACCATGGATACCATAAATCAATATTTACTTTTAAATCTCCCACCTCAGATTTTTGAAAGCCCTCGGGGCAGAGCCCTAAGGCAATATCGAGGCGGGAATAGTTCTATATGTATCCGCGGAGCTGTAGCTTCATTTGTGTGCAATTTGAGCCCAGTCGGTTCAGTAGTTTTTGAGATTAGCTCATACAAACACACAGACACAACCTCTTCTTTATAATAGTATAGATAGATAGATATAGATAGATAGATATAGATAGATAGATAGATTATTTATTATAAATCTATTTCAATGATTATTGATTATGAAACCGTTTTTCCCGTTGCAAGGCAAATATTAAATGTGAGAAGAAGAACATATGTTAATTGTAAACAGCCAATGTGTAAATTATCTATGTTGTATTAAAAATGTGTATAGTTTTGGATGCTGGTTTGTGTTTAATGATATACGAGTAAGTTATTAATTATTGAATTTATATTTTATGGATTTGGCATATGAGTATGCCTATGATAAATAACACCATTTCAGAGTTCTGCCAGTTTTTGCCTAACTCTGTTCTGTAGAGTTTAAAGTAGCCTACACCTTATTGTCTACAAATTGGCTAAATAACTTGGGGTATGGTACATTATAAAAGCTGACAGCCTTTTTACGTTGACTTAGATTGTAAGCTTACCTTTTCCCGTCCATGGGCAGTTTGATAGTTAAAAATTAACCCTTTAAACTGGAATAGGACTTTATGTAAATTGTGAGTATTTCCATTAGTTAATAATCTTTTACTTGACTCTTTTAAAATCATCGGTAATTATGACTGTTATTAGTTTTTAAACAAGTCATTTCCTGTACTTCTTTGCAATTGCTCGATTTCGAGCAACATGTACACTAATATCTTCTTATTGGTTTATAGGTATGCTACTTTGATATTATGTTTGTGACATGTAAGTTTTATGTTTCAACAGTCACGCTCGCAAGCACTTTTCCATGTTTGAGACGGAGCAGTTGCAGGAGATTCAACATTGCATGGCATTGTTGGCCTTCCCTGCCACAACCTCTCTTTCACCGTATCGTGAAATGCTTGACGAGAGTCGCTGGGACCGTCTTGTGGAACAGTTCCGTCAGGAGAACTATCGTCTCTTCCAGCTCGCTTCACAGTCCGTCTTCACTGTGGCATTGCAAGCAGGCTTGTCTGCTCTCAAAACACCATATCCTTTCCAATTGCTGATCATTGTGCAAACAATTCTAAAATTCTAAAACCTTTGATTTGATCAGCCATGAAGTCTATAGTTTCATTACAAGTACATTGTACTGTTACAAGTAACTGTTTATTGACTTTTATCAGTATTTTCATTGATTATGAAAACGAAAAGTATTAAAGTATATTAAATCAATCGCTCCAAGCGGCTGTCGGTTGAACTGTACCGTACTTTTGCTGTGTAGGTAGGGCGGACCCTTAAAAACAAGGCTGTGGTTGACCTGGAAAAATCAAAATTTCTCCTCGGATTACATTATCTAGCGTTGTCGCGATTAAGAACAAGAACTAACTGAGCAATTTTTGCTAGGGAGAGTTACAAGCATAACAAAGATAAAGTATTGTATTGATCATTACAAGTTTTTGTCATAGTGTATTTTTAAATTCCAATTTTATTTAGAATAAAAGATTATTTGTTAACTATTTTGTTCAATCCTCTTGATTGGCGGACCTGAGTACAGTGAAGTACCCCATATGTATTAGTCACATGGGCAGAAGAGTGCTGACTGCTATATGAGATCGTAGGTGGCCAGTCTCAAATCAGCAATGTCTGGCGTTAATCTGTTCTAAACCATTGTTATGTCACTCTCCTCTCATAAAATTACATAACAGGTCACAGGTCTATTAGTTAATTCATTGCTAAACACTAAACAACCAGATAGTTTATACTACTAAGACAGTTGCTAGGCACAGGATGTAGGTCTAGACTGACGCTGTATCTTCCTCTGCCCACCTTATAGATGACTTCAAGATTAGGCCTTGCTAAAAATTATGAGCTGGAAGGTTTTGGCCATAAAAATATTAAAACACACTCTCGTTTGGCTCGCTGGGGGCGGTGCCTTATTAGCCTATTTGCTACATCCTTGGCAAATTTCAAGTCTCTAGTACGTTTCCAAACGGTTCAGTTCAGATCAGCATACCAAAGTAAGCAACTTTCGAGCTTATTCATCATAAAAATAACATAGGGGGGATTCAAAATTGGGGGGGGGGGGGTTGAATGGCTAAGACCAAAAAGCCTTAACAAATAAAAAAAACTTTAAGATTTAAAGATTTTTTAATGTTGAAACTCTGGTGCAAAAATACTGCTACATGTCAAATTATTTTGTCCGTCTATAATAATTTTGTCCAATGCACCTGAATTTTATTAATAGAGTTGTGATTGTGCTAACCAGAAGTTTGAATTTTGCACCTTAACTTAACATACTCAGTGTTACAGCACTAAGGAGAACCGCAATGCCAGCTGCCCTGTTTGTCAGGACTGGTTGAATATCCTGGCAATGCCTCTGCCCTTCGCTCACTGTTCTCAGTCTCGACTGGTGTGCTCCATTTCTGGATTACCACTCAATGAACACAACCAACCAATGGTCTTGCCCAATGGCTATGTGTACGGTGAACAGGTAAGCAAGAACTGCTTGTAAGATAACTTTCCTTTTACCTTTGTTTGATGAATAAAGGTTTAAATTAATTTTTTTTTTTAGAATTTCAAATTAATTTGTCCAGTGGTATGAAGTTATGTTGTGTGGTTAATAACCATGTGTTAAACCTAACCACTTACGCTTCATTTATAGAATTTATCTTAAGAAAATAAAGGGAAAAATGGAAACCGACCCATCTTTAAGTTTTTCTGTCAAAGAGAGACATAAGTAGGAAATAACCAAACCTAATGGACTACTAATACTGAATTGACATTGTTCTACTTTATATTTTACGTTTGTTGCAGGCACTGTTGCAAATGGCTGCAGACAATCATGGACAGGTGATTTGTCCTAAGACTAAAGATATATTTCCCTATAAGAAAGTTGAAAAAGTGTATGTAATGTAAGAGAGATTCATCCCTCGGTCACATTGCAAATACCTGCTTATACTTTCTTGTTTGAATTTACTCATTCGCCGCTGATTGTGTTTGCCATGATATTTTGTCACCTTACGATATATTTTATAATCAAAAATCAAATATACAACAATAAACATGTTTCTTTGAGTTGATATGTTTATTACATTGAAATGATAACCTAATGTATTCATAAAAGCCTTATAGTCCCCACCACCTGAGGCAGCCCAAACCCTGTGCCCAAACTGACCTGTAGGTCCCGCACGACCCTTTTACAATCCTAATTAGCGACGCTTACATGAACGCCCTAGTTCAATATTAACATTACTTTTGTTGTTTGGTATTTTGTTTATAGCTAAAAACCGTAAAAATTCCTCGTTTTAGATGGTACAAATACAGATATATTTGTTCAATTTATGTTATTAATGTAAACGAGTAAATTAATGTATCAAATAATTTATAATGATAATATTGAACTAGGGTGTTCACGGAAGCGTCGCTAATAGGATTGTAAAAGGGTCGTGCGGGACCAGCCAATAATGGCTCTGAAGGTCAGTTTGGGCTGCCTCAAGTTAAGGTGGCGCGAACTATCAGTTGTGGTGGATAAATATGTGTGTACTGTAGCTAACATTATTAGTTTTATTGATAAAAGCCATGTAATTCAGGACTGGGATGTTGCAGAATCAAGCACATACAGTAGCACCCCTAATATTTGGCCTCGGAATTGCTGGTCCTTGGTTTAACCGGTCACTTCCCGGAATCGATACAAAAAATATTTACCACGGCTGTACACGTAGTCTCTATGGTTTGAGCGTTCTCATGGTTTATCTGTGTCCTCTTCATATACATTTTTATCGGGTTCACTTCTCAGTTGAGCTAGTAGATTCCAATAAGAGACTTAAACATTACTTTTAGACCCAGCGCACACTATTTATGTAGTTTAGGCATGCGCAACTATTTTGTGACCTCGGCAATGTATTGCAGTGTGGAGGCACACACGACGCAACTGGTTGTATGCGATTTAAAAAAAGGCACGAGACCACGGGGTGTTTTTGTGGTGTTTAATGGTATTTTAACGGCCTTTTAGTGTTTATTATTTCCTATCCGACTAGCTCTAGCTGCTACAAACAGCCTAGTACTAACATTCTCGCTCAAATAAGGGTGAACCCAATGCTCTCTCAGAACACTTTGCTGCCTTCGGTATTGATTGATAATAGCTAATAACGTCTTCTTCGTCTGAGTCTGACATAGTTAGTGCACTTAAGGCCTTAAAACAACGTAACTGCACTAAATTGAATTGACACTCCCGCTGATTGCACAATAGACACAACTGTAGTTGTAAAACAGTCACACCGTGTGCGGAGAGAAAATTTGTTTCAGTTGCAAAAAGGTTTCAGACGCAACTTTCAAAAAGGTGTTGCAACAGTTGTAAAACAGTCACACCGTGTGCACTGGGCCTTACCCAATCACAAGTTGTTATTAGATACAAATTATCGTTATTATTATAATAGGTTGGTTAATCCAGACAGAGGCTCGGTCCCACGTAGGATATGAGGAGTTTTACTGTATAGGCTTCAAGGCTTGATTTTTGTAAATTTAAATTTTTTTAAATGTTTTACCTACAACCGCATTTTAAAGTAGCAGTTTCAGTCCAGTTCTTAGAATTGAAAAGATTCACTAACAGCATTTTTGTTTTACTTAACAACACCTGTAATGGACCAATGAGGTTCAAGGATTGAGAGAAAAGAAGTAAAATTGTAATGCTTCGAACTTCAACTAATCAACTGTTTACCAATTTAATTGTTGAGGATCGGTGCAATTAGTGGTTAGTAAAATGAGTCATTGTATCACTGTAAAAAAAAAAAAAAACAATTAATATTTACTATCCAAATCTTTAAGGAATGGAGACATAAGTATTAAGGTGGCGAAAATTAAATTTCTACTATATAGAGAAAGGTAGTCAGTACAAAATAGCACCTAATACACTGGTGTCTTGATCAGGGTGTGTACCAACCGGGAAAACTGAGAATTAATTGTACTTGATTTTGGGCTGGGCATGAAATGTAGGAATTGTCCTTAAATGCCAGACTATGTCCTAAAATTTTTTAATGGGCAATAATTGTATCTAGTTGGTTAGGAGGACATAAAAGGTTAATCGGATGTTTGTTTACATTTTATAATTTACTAGCTGACCCGACAGACGTCGTCCTGTCCTAATGTGGTTTTATGTCAAAAGCTCGTTAATTTTCAAGATAAGCTTGTTTGCATGGCTCAATCACGTCCTGGTTGAAGTTCGTTCGCTACGCTCACTCACCTTTTGGTTGCAAATTAGCTGTTGTCATAAATTAAAAAAAAATAATAGTGCTGCTCCATGTTGGTAAACCTATTAACTTTTTAATACTATTGAACATCACAGAATCAAATTGATTAGTTGAACCAGCTGTTAAGATTCTTAAATTACATTTAAATATGAGTACTCATAAGCATGGGAAACTTCAGAGCCACTGGGGCGGAACCCTTTTGACGGATCTGCACCAAACTTCACACAAACCATCCTTTAATAATGCTTAATAATGCCTGAAAGTTTAATTACAATCTGTCAAGCGGTTTCGGAGCCCATAAAGGACAAACAAACATACATACATACATTGGATTTTATATATATAGAAGACTAGCTGGCCCGACAGACGTCGTCCTGTCCTATTGTGGTTTTATGTCACATGCTCGTGCACTTTCAAGATGATCTCGTACACATGGCTCAATCACGTCCTGGTTGAAGTTCGTTCGCTACGCTCACTCATTCTTTAATTCCATTTAAATATGAGTACTCATAAGGTTAACATGGGAAACTCCAGAGCCACTGGGGCGGAGCCCTATTGACGGATCTGCACCAAACTTCACACAAACCATCCTTGAATAATGCTTAATAATGCCTGAAAGTTTCATTACAATCTGTCGAGCGGTTTTGGAGTCCATAAAGGACAAACATACAAACATACATTGGATTTTATATATATAGAAGATTACTAGGGTAATTATGCAATAAAATACCCATTTAAAGTCATTAATATTTTATCACACCAATCAAGTGTCAAGTCAATACAAGTACTTCCAAGAATTCTTAGCTTAAGTTAGCTCATAAAAGTTTAACACTTTTATTCTTTTACAACTTCCATTATTTATTACTAGGGTAATAATTATGAGATAGAGATCCCAAACCTATTTTATCATGGAAATAATAGTTTTATAATGGCTGTTAAATTTTACTTCTTACTCGTACAGTACTTTCATCTTTAAGATTCATATTGCCGCTGGCCATTACCTACTGCCATAAAACTGTTTATGGTTTCACATTAAAGTAACTAATCTAAAGTCTCATTTTGTAAGTTAAAACCCTTATTTATGGATATTACTTTCAATTGACAAAACCACAAGCATTGTTGTTTGCATTATCATTACGCAAGCCTACTTGGTCTCAAATCATATAATTGCATTTTCTTTATCTTTGTCTTTTATTGTTTGCTGTTCAGGTTTCAATGTTTGTTGTTTCCCATTTTATTTATTGTGTTGTGCAATCTAAATCTTATGAACTAGAATGATGATAGGGACTTTGCTGCTAACCTAATTGTTTGTTACTCAGTTTATATAGGCCCTCTTAAATAATTAGGTCTAGGCCTGGGTATTTCGATTCTTTGAAAGAGCTGTAAAATATACAAAGAAATTGTAATTGAGCCCAAGATAAACTATAATGATTGATATGGGTCGATGTCAACTTTGCAAATGAAAAGATAATTATCTTACTCTGTGCTTACTGTTAGCCTCTTACAATTCCGGTTTTGTATGGAGAACTTAGGTACAATATACGTATTAAAGATTTTTTTTTCAAAAGTAGTCGAGAACTTAATATTGTGCTAGAGGGAATCATGCCAAAGTAATCCGCCTAGATTGGATATGATATGATAATGTGTTTGACCGAGATATTCAGAATTTTTTCGCTATCGCGGTAGACGATAATTGGGTTTTTCTGTTACACTATAAAGCTTTACCCAAAGTAAATAATTGTCTCATTTCAATAAATTTCTATTTTGAAATTTAACTCTTGTCTATTATTACTTACTTTTCTCTCTGATACAACTAAAGTGAAGAACTAGATTAATACAGTTTGACAAATCAGGAAAATATATTCGGTAGTCACACCGACAAAGTGTACTCAAATGTATGGGGATTGTCCATGAATTTTTTATCCAGAATGTAGTAGACACCTTGTAGATGCATTCCCTGCAGGGTTATGGGTGACAGTGACAGTACTGGCTATCAATTACAGTATATAGCCTCGTGCAGGCTTACATTTGGTAAGCCACTCATGCTCAACAAATCTTTCATAAATCCAACGTATTCAAATGGGCATGGGAAGTATTTGGAAGGATATTATTCCAAACAATACCAAGACAGAGCTTTCTTTAACAATTTATTTACAAAATGTTCAATATGATGTACATTGGGTCTTCATATAAAATTTGACTTAACTATAAATATCATAATTTGGCAAATAAATGCTGCACAGACCAGATAATGTGTTACTGAACATAATTTTCAGCAAGTATAAGTAACAGAAACATTTAACTGCTTACAAATATGTTCTCAGTGTACATTTCCTGTTAAATCCCTGCACAGTGCTAAAGACTAATTTCTCCAGTTTAAACACATATTCTAACTCACAAAAATCATATAATAAGCTTAAGAATGTTTAATACCTCATGCTAGGTACAGATTGATTCATGAACAAATGTAAAAAGTAATCTTTTTTTATTACCAAAATTTTCAGATAAATTGATTTAATAATATTACAACTTAATATTGAATAACAAAAACAATACCTTGATAAGTCGATTACACTTGCAAATAGATTACAAAATACTTACAATATTATTTTACCGTTTATTTAAAGTTAAAGAGTAAAAAGTTACAATTGTTGACTTAAATTAATATTTTTTTACATCTTCACTAAATTTACAGAACTGGAGACCACTTCATAGGTTTGTAAAGTTTGTAATTAATTGTTTTGAAATATATAAAGTATTCTTTTTTAATAAACCTCAATATTATAATTCATTCTGCAAAAATACTCATCAAACTAAAAGGGATAACCT